TATTTAACAATTTTTTCTTGAAAAAAATTTATTTATTTAAAATATTTTCTAGCTTTATAATATTTAAAAAACTACAATTTATCAAAACAACTCTTTTCGCTAATTCTCTGATTATATACAAAAAAGATATTCACAAGAAGTTTCAATATTTTCATGCTAATAAAGTCTTACTACTCTCCTTAAACCAACTCAAAGAATTCCTTTAGAACTCTCTCAACCCCCCCTTTTATTGTTTACAATCTCCTTTGAACAAACTGAACTCTTGTGACCTGCAAAGTTTAACTTCTACCTTTACTATCAATGGCAAGAAAGTTTCTAAAGGAAAAAGGATCAACAGTAAAGTACCTCGCACCTCTCAGCTATGATGAAGATAATAAAGATTATAAACCAGCCAAACGACCCACTTTTTCACCCTTTGACTGGTGTTGTGGCCTCTTAAAGCTATCTTTTTTATAGTTTTCTGAGGAATTTTGCCTATCCCAACTTGATCCTGAAATTTCGAGTAGCATGGATTTCATCAACTCTGATTGGCTGACACGAAACACATGGACAAGATTGACAAACAAGCTTTTATTGGCCACCTCACGTGTCTGAATATATTTCCTTAGCTTCATAAGAACCTGGGGTTCACCATAAGTTATATGGTCTGGTGCAGATGGATATAGGACAAGCCTCCGATACATCATTGAATACAAGAAAGAGACTGTTCGACTATGGCAAAGGTTACAATATGCTCGATTGTTTCCTTTTAAAAATCAGAACCACCTACTCCTGATTGTATGTCAAGTAGATTCCTATTTCTACTGCTCGGAAAAGTCTAACAGGAAAAAGTAAAGAAGATAATCAGAAACACTCAATGATAAAGCTTACGTGCATAATACACCAAGAAGTTTTCATCCTATTTCCAAAAAATCACAAGTTGGAAGACTAGAAGATTAACACCATCACACCAATTGAAACTCGAGTCTAAAAATGTCAGCAGTAATGTGTGAGCTGGCCGAATAATTTGGGAAATTCTTGATAATCGCTAATACCAATGGCTACCAGCAGGATACACCAATCGCGAGGCTAGGTGCAGTCCTTCTATAAGGAATTAAATTTGAAATATGTTGCATAGATAGGTAAGTATACCCATATTCAGATAGGAATGAGTTTAATTGATGATATATTGTGAGACTTTCAAGTCATTCATGTGAATACCGATATATTACCTGGGTCTTCTTGGTTACTCCCTCCTTACAAGTCTTAAAACTGTAAAGTCTTCCTCCTCATTCCTATCTTATTTCCATAAAGACTTAGAAGAAGCTTCTCTGGTTCTTCATCATAAGGAGAATTCAAAACAGGACGGATATATGTTGAGAAATATTACAGCTACTTATCAAAATAGCACATGACTGGTCCTTTCATTTTATTTTTGTTTTATTTTATTTTTAATAACACTCGCAAGCTCCGTAAGATATGGGTTTCTTTGTAAAAAGAGGGCATTCAGCCTCGAAGTAGCCTTAGCTTATAAATTCTTTATTTACTCCCAAATATATACCCCTGTATATGTGCATTGCGCAATTATATAAAATGTAATTTGGAACTTAATAAAGATTAGGCATGAACCCATTTAAAAAATATATATATATATATTTAAAAAACTTAATCATTTTTAAATAAAGAAATTTTAAAAAAATATTTAAAAATTTTAATTCTTTACTGATATATAAATTTATTTATTGTATTATTACTATTAATATTATATTATAAAAAAGTTTATTTGATCAAAATAAAAAAATCTCTTCAAAAACTATTTATAACTAAAATAAAAACCTGAAAATTCTACTTTTTTATCAATAAAATCTTTTTATTATTTAAAAAACCTATTAAAATATAAAAATATTATGCTATATTATATATCCATTACTTATCTTTTAATATTATAATTGTTTTTTTAAAGAACGAACTTGTTTAGTTGAAAGAATACATTTTCAAAATTGTTTTTCTTGAATTATCATTAACATTATAAAAATATATAATATAATCAATAAAACTTGGTTACATTTTATAAACTAATATATTTAATATTGATCAATTATCTTTAGTAATAATTATACTGTTTAAAATTTTGAAATTAAATTAAAATAGATAAAAATTTTTAAAAACATAAAAATATGAACTCTAAGATGACACAGATAGTTAAAAAAGAAAAAAATAAATCTTTTTACTATAAAAAACTTCTATATGATATGTTTCAAAAATTGAAAGACTTTTAAATACTTTATAGTTGATTTCTTTTCCTTTGGAAACTTTTTTTCCATTAATATTAAAGGTGTTACTTGATTTGTTTTTGATCATCAGAAGTTAAGTTTTTGAAAAAAGTGAATAATAAACAAGCAGGAAAGAGTAAAAGTGACTCTTAAAGTCATTCTTTAAGTTGTTTCAAGAAGAGCATTAAAACTTTATTAATAAGGAAATAAGAAAACTTCTTGTAAACATCTTTTTGTTTATGATTAAAGAATTAGTGAAAAGGGTATCCATGCTATTTTGCAATAGAAATTATTATATTAGTTAGGTTGAAAAATTAGATTATATTTAGAAATATAGTATTCTATATTGAGTCAATTTAGAATTTCGTAATCGAAAATTTAAAGCGAGTTATTAAATTATTATACTGTAGTTGATTTTGACCATGATAAAGAACCACTTATTCTGGTTTAACTATAGATTAAATAAACATATACAGTATATACTGTATATTATTGAATCAAAAAAGAAAATTTTGCATTAAAAATATTCTGTATATTAACATAGAATTTTCAATTAGGATTTGTAAACTTTATACAGTATAATGCATATTTGTACCTTTTGCTAATTAGCTTTAGGTCTGGTTGCGAACCTTGGGAGTTTTTTTTTAAAGATAATAAATTTCCAAAACTTCTACATACATACGTACAGTATATGTTTTAACTGCCTTACGAAATTAATCATCGGGCATTACTTTTGGAGTTAACTGTTACGCATGATTATTATAAGAAGTTGCATATAACTTTCATTGTTAGCAAACCAACGGAATCTCAAACGCGTGAAATAATAATATTAGATTTCCTTAAAAGTTCGATATTTTTAAACTTTTATTTTTCAACTTATAAACGGTCTACAATACCATTCGTTAAATAAAATGTTATATCCACAATTAGATAACGTTTGTTTGGAGATAAGACAGGACTATGATAACAACGAATTAAATGTTGTTCTTTTCGCGGGAATGTCGTATGTCTTGGAGAGCCAACTTACCGGGAACAGTAAAATCCAGTGTTTAGGAAAGTGTTCTTATTCACTATATATTTTAATAAAGAAGAAAAAATTTTTTTCTGAAATTGTTTCTGGTAGCGAGGCGATTGCGTTGTCACGTGAAGTTCTCGGCGTTGTATCACCGCGTTGATGATAAATGCATCCACGATTTATGTCAATGTAACATTTTCGAAATGTTTTGCAGGCGCATTTTTTCCATAACTCTGAACACCATTATTTTGCTGGCCTTGCTTGTGTCCTTTGAATTTGCAAGAAATGAGATTCCTAAACAAGAGCGTTCTCGCTTCACCGGATACCTGACATGGCACGGAAAACTTAAACGTTTGTATCTCAGATATTGAATCGTAAAAAAGCAAAGGTCGCACGCACCATCTCAGTCAATTTTCAATGTTAACACACTACCAGACTTTGACCAAGAGTCGTATGACACCTCTCTTTGGTTTTGGATAATTGTCAATGGTCTATCAGCAGTTTATGCATTTGTTTGGGCATCAAAAAAAAGCTTACCTAAAAAAGTCATCACATACATTTACCAGGAGAATGGCAGCAGAACAACCTCACATTTTCTCAACACAATCATCGCCTACTACATCACATTCACTTTTGTCTCCGGGTTTGCACTTTTCCTATTTGATAGCGGCAAAATGTTTTCAACTTTTGCGGCCTTCCATAATGTCTTTGAGTTGGCAATGATACTGCTGTTTTTTCAAGGCGGAAAAATCACCTTAAAGTATTTTTATGCCACCGTGGGAGGGTATTTCTTCTTTGTGAACATATTGGACATCGCCTTACCTTGGCCGATAGATGGGCTTTTGTTTAAAGCTCAAGGCGAGTAAAAAATTTTTCTTTATGAGGAACATCAATAACCTCAAGAGAATAATAATACCGTACTAAATCACATGTGCCGAAATCAACAGGATTGTGTTTGGATTTTGCTCTGTGCATCGTTTTCACGCGCACCTACAATGCCACACGGGAGTATGTCGAAGGGTTAACCTCGGCCCAACTTCCCTTGGTAAATGACGAGGATCATCCATTCGAAGAGGATTCCAGCATCTCCCCAATAATCATTCAGCATCCCCAGCAACTTTTATTATTGATCTTCTCGTCAGCTGTCCACATTGTGGGAAACACTTGCGCCATACTTTTCCCTGACGACGGTCGAAGGTGTGTAAGAGGGAGTGAAGTATTTTTTCATCATTTCTTGACGTGATTCTAATAATTTTTATTTCCTTCATTATAGCATCATTGTATTCATTCTCAGTTACTGCGTTTCATTTCCCGTTTACGCTCTCTATGTATATTTCGATACACATTGTACCAGTGTTTTACAATCCAAAAGAATTTTATTACCCGACACTTCCGTTTGGAAGATAGTGTCCATCGCCATGTGGTCGATTATATTTTCTCTCCTTATAATGCGGTTGTCTTTGTTTTTTTTCTAACAATACTTGATGTTTGATGAAAAGAAAAAAGGAAAAACAAACAAAACCACAAGCATATTCCATGCTCATTGTCACTTTAGTTAGAAGGGCCGGATGATTAATTACTCATCACCTGTTTTTATTTAAATTAATTAAAACCTAATACTCGAAAATAATATAAAGAAGTTGTAATGGAGTGGTTGAATGATTGAATGAAAGAATCGTTAGGAATCTTGGATTTTCCTACAAGGATTTGCACCAGAAATTCGAAATCGAATCCTAGATAATTGGTACCATGCCCAACATCTTATTTTTAAACAGGAACGGCGAGATCCTCGAGCCTTTCTTTCCGTATGTTCCACCGCTGCTACCTTGGTAAGTGCCACCGACGACCTCATCAGAAGAGTCGGAAATTTCGGTGGTTTGGCCAACGTTTTGATCAGTGGCACCGCTGGAGCTGGTGATCGAAGTGCCGGGCGGACAATCCTTGAGTTTCTTGGATCCCACACCACCCAAGGGACCCAGAGGACCACCAAAAGGAACGGTACTGCGTCTAACGGAGTCCGAGGCGCGAACGTAATCATATATCGCAGGAATTGGTGTGGACTGTACACTGATGGTTATTAAAAGTAAAAATAAAGTCGGGAATATAATTTTTGCGATAGTTTGAGTCATCTCCTGATAGTCTATTTTTTTTTTTTGTTGGGACGTGCGAAATCGAAAGGATTATCGATCAAATGTTGAGCGATTTAAATATCATGAAAAACGAGAAATCAGGTTTGATTTTGATCATTGATATGGATTGCGCTTGCAAAAATATATTGCGCTTCGATTGATCCCATGTATGCATCATATCGTTTTCACACTTCGGATTATAGTACTTTGTTAAAACTTTGGGAAGCTTTGCTCATGGGATTGTGAGATTTCAAAAGAATTGCTTGTCTCCTATTCACGAGTCTCGACCGTGGTTGAAGGATACGCCCGCTATAAATATGTTTTTAAAATAAGATCAAGACTATCATGGTGTGCTTTATGATAATGTCACGCTTGCCATTTCCTGACGATCTTATGCAATTCGCAAGTACGAATTAAGGTGCCACCTTCTCCGTTATCTTTATTTTCATCATTTCTTGACG